AAAAAAAAAAAAAAAAAAAAAAAAAAAAAAAAAACTACACATAACTGAAGTAATAGCAGTAGCATATTCATCCACAGTAATACTCAAGTACCTCAACAAGATAGTAATGCAAGTATTTCAGCCCTTTGTGGAGGATCAAAGGTTCCCACAATGATACAAATACATAATAGTTTTCAAACTGTGAGGTTATTTGGCTGATGCCCATGCTCTAAAAATGCAGCTCTCTAACACTTTCTGCCCAACTGTAACTAGTAATCAGTGCGTACTTGTGTTATCAGTCACATCATGCATCACGGTTACAGCAAAAAACAGCACATGACTATGTTTCTTAAAGAAGTAAACAAAAGTGATGAAGAATTTACATTTATGGCATTTGGCAGACACCCTTATCCAAAGTGACTTACAGTTATCTCCTTTATACAGCTGAGCAGCTGAGGGTTAAGGGCCTTGCTTAAGGACCCAGCAGTGGCAGCTTGGTAGCGCTGGCATTTGAACACTCAACCTTCCGATCAGAAATCCAACGTCTTAACCACTGAGCTACCACAGCAAAAGAGGTGACGAAATTCAACCCTGTGCTATGTGTGCGTTTTTGGATTTCTAAAGGAAACCAAACTGCCACAAACATGCAGAGAAAACTGCGAAATTGGGAGGAGACTATAAGTTACATGTCTGCCTTGCAAAAGTAGTTTGGATAATTAGGCAAGCTAAGAAAGTCTTTTTTTCTATTGGAAATGGTATTCATGTTGTTATATTCATATTATGTTGTTTAAAAGGCATAATGTACTTTTGTTAATCAAAATGTTTGTTGTGAGTTTGAGCACATGTTATGAAGCTTAACACATCCGGAATGTGCAGTTGACTCCTCCAGTCCTCCCACAGCATCACTTAAATGGATGCAATCCCTCGTCGTACCCTGGTCATCATTACTCACGCTAGCTCTAGGTCTATGATGGCAACATTACTGTGTTGCGTCAAGTGAAGCACTTGGAGCACTGTTGTACAGTTGTGACTATATGTTTTGGCACCTTTTCCTGTCATGTCCTGCTGCTGGATCACTTCTCACTCAGTGTTCCACTGCCTCATGTGTTACAGATTAAGCACTGATATGGACACAGTATTGTTTAGCTATAGTAATATGCATGTGTGTGTGTGTGTGTGTGTGTGTGTGTTTTCTGTCCTGTACAACATATCAAACTGAGAGGTTTCAAATATTGACAATGTCATATAAAAGTCTGTTAGACAACATACACCAGTAAAAATATTTATGCATGAGTTTTACCTCCAAAAAGGAAGTTATAAAAACACAGCATACTCCTGACACGCGCACTTGTGTCACAGGGGACAGGAAAGTTGAAGCAACTGCGGCTGAACAGGACTTTCCCAACATTACAGTACAAAGTTCACACGGAAGAATGTCCAAAACACAGCACAGAAATGCCATCTTCATCTTTCTGTCCATCACTTACCGTCCTCATGGAAGCGAGCAGCTGCGAGTTGCTCCACCAGAGCCGGGATTCTGTCCCACTGGCACTCGGCCCGGCAGCGCTCGATCTCCGCTTCCAGGCGGTACAGAGACAGCGAGAGCCGCGCAGACATCCCGCCGAGCTCCCGCGGTCCCTCCGACACCCGCGGACTCACTGCACACTGTCAGACGGCAGAGCGCGGTGAGCACTGAGCATGCGCACTGCCACACGAGCGCACTGCACACTGTCACAAGTTGCGGCGAGCGACTACTGAGCATGCGCACTGCGACTCGACTGTCCACTACAGGCACGACTTTTGATCTCGCCTTGGGAAAAAAATATCCTTTGGTAGTAGTTATTCTCAGCAAAACTATCCTTTTGATTCATATAGACTCAATATTTTTTTTCTACAATGTAATGAAACAATAAAGGCATTCAACTTCTCAACTTTCTAACACACTCACTAATCATACTGATTAAAAACCCAACACTTTATATAATAATATCAGTTACACTGGGACACACTGGGGCAGATCCGGGCATGTTGTCACACACTTCATTCTTTCTTACACTATATTTCTTGCATGTGATACATTACAATGGAGTAAATGTCATACCAAATGAAAGAATGAAGTCTCAGGTACATAATTTGTATTTATTATATCTTCATATCTTATTATAAGGCTTTAGAGACAGTTGAGTAGAGGATGTGCACTTGTGACAAGTTGCCCCATCAGTGTGTATGTTGTCACACTTGATTTTTCAATACATTAGAACACAGCTGACTGTAAATAGTTTTTTCGGGTTGTCTGTATGCGTCCATCTAAGATTCTCATTAACGACAAATGATGTTGAATGTTTGGATTTATATGGAATTGTATCAGATGAACTGATTAGGGTTTAGAATTGATCCAGACAGGGTCAAGGTCACAGAAAGGTCAAATGTCAGAAAGGACTAGACGTGTTGGCGGAAGAGGCATCCCCATCAACGTCAAGTTGAACTTATGGAAGTAAATTTGTCCGGAAAATACTTCCATATGTACTTTTTTACATCTCAAATTCAAAAGCAAGTACAACTTTATGCTGCCTTCAGGTGCTAACGGAATTCTCCTACTTCCCACTTCTGAAGCGAGTATGCCGTGTTCACATGCTTTGTTGTCGGAAAGAACATGAAACACGGACGACGCCAGGTTCATTCATACATATTTCTTTTTTTATTTTAATTTATTTTGACACCATAACACATTGCTTAGTTAGCTAGCCTGCTGACGATAAGGTAATTTTGGTCAAATACAAGCTATTTTCATGGTGTAAAAATGCATAGACTGGTTTCTGAAATGAATATGACCAAAACAGCAAGCGCTAACAAGTTGCTACATTTAGAAAAATGAACAAAACCTGTCATTCAGTACAGAAACTGTCCTCACCTCCGCCATGTTTAAAGTTTAGGACTCTTACCTTCTCGGAAACTCGGTATTAAAATTATCTCCGAGTTTCCCAGTCGTAATTACGACTTGAGAAGTCATTCATGTGCAACTTCCTAGTGGGAAACTCGTATTTACAATAATTCCAATAGCACGTGAAGGCAGCATCATTCAAAGAACTAATGTGGCCAGATCTGGAAGGGATGAGTGGCATAATGATTTTGAGCAAGGTCTATGTTTCAGTTTATATACTGTACCAGGGCACGTTGTCATATGTGATACACATGATAATTTACCCTAGACTTTGTGTCAACTTGCCTCAAACTGACATGTGCGTTAATGGTGGCTATATCTCAATCTCAAGGCTAATGTAACATACAGAAGGACTGTAGCTATAAAGTATCAAAAGACACTTTATTCTGTCCTCCGATTAGTGTAAAAATACAATTTTGAGCATTCATACATAACAAAGTTACATTACATAAAATTTGACGTACCATTTTTCCTTACTTTTGAAAGTCAAAATGAAGAACATTTTGCTCGCCTCTGATTAGAGTGACTCTGACCACATGTATACAAGAAATTGTATACATTCAGAGCATGAAGTCAAACAGATCAGCTATTTCATTTTTAAGTTAGTGCCTCAGTGTGACAACCTTCCCACAGGACAGCTTACTTTGCTCTACCCTACACTCACTGGACACTTTATTAGGTACACCCATACACCTGCTTATTCATGCAGTTATCATTTCAGCCAATCGTGTGGCATAAAATCATGCAGATACAGGTCAAGGGCTTGAGTTACTGTTCATCAATCATCAGAATGGGAAGAAATGTGATCAGTGACTGTGGCAGGACTGTGGCATTGTTGGTCAATATATTTATACATAGCGTAACAAATAGTAACAAATGTCTATTCAATGCCACTGAAATCTTATTCAGTCATCAGCCTTCAAAACATTGCATTCTTCTTTTTGTTTTTCCTTCCATGATAAAACACTCGTGATGACTGCAGGACGTGTGAGTTTCTTGCAAATTTTATCCAGGTGTTTCCATCACACATGGAATTTATAAAATTTATTTATAAAAAACATATTGTATCATATACCAGTTTAAAGTGAGACTTTACAGACTACCAGTGCCAGTGGAGTCATGCTCTGTTGGATGACTTTACTGTTTTCATTCCAACAGGATAATGGAGTTGAAATGATGTGACCTCTAACATCTACATTTTTGAGAAACCGAAAGCACACATTATTTCATGTTTGCAGAAGAACACACTATTTAAGCTTTCTCAGTATGAGTGTAAAGCATATACAGCCTTTAGGAGCTTCTCACTGTTGTAGGGGCACTTAAACGACATAATATGCTTTTACTTTTGCAATGATATAGGTGCCCTTTGTAGGTACACAGATAATGACTGTAGCCCTGTTCGCAGGTGTCCCTGATAAACAGACCAGTGAATGTAGGTGTAAGTTAGTTGTACCTTATAAAGTGGCCACTGAGTGTATATTAATAACCTTAATGAACTATGATCTAAACACTTCACACAGGCTATTAAATAACAACTGGTTTACATTCATGAAAAGACTGCTACGATGTGCTTTCCATGGGTTTGTGGGTAATTACACGGCTTAGGGTAATCAAATTAGGCAGGATAACAGGAAGGATCAGGGTGGAAAGCATAACATGGACAGATATTGGGTGTTATATTGCTTTGTGCCTCTCTCTCCAAACATTTACAAAAGCATGCCTCCAAAAGCCAAATATCTCTCTGCATGCCCTGTGATTAACTCTATATAAAGTGATTGGCGTTGTTTTGATATTAGTGCCATCTTGTGGACAAATTAGGACTAATTTATTTCCTTGAACTTGTTTGCAAAATGTGTCAATATTCAGAATTCACATATTCTTCAAAATAATCTGGCAAAAGAATAATTTATAAACTCAGACTATGGTGTGATATGAATAGCATACATGCTGTTTAGAAGTCTGCTTAAAAGCCATTTTGAACTATTTTAGGATAGTTCTACAGCTATTTTATTTTTTAAAATGCTCGCTACATTATGTACTATAGGGTACTATAGTGTGCTATAGGGTACTATATGGTGCTATAGGGTACTATAGTGTGCTATAGGGTACTATATGGTGCTATAGGGTACTATAGGGTACTGTAGGGTACCGTTTCTTTTAGCTACAGGTTTTGTTAGGCTAAAGTACAAGCTTCTGTACTATTATACAGCTATACTGCATACGACATTGTAAACTGAACCTCCAGGCGGCGGAAAAGAGATTTCCTGCTCTCGTTTTCTTTGTACAGGTTTGCCATGTGGATGAGTCACCAGACTACTGAGTGACAAGATTGCTGTCAAGATCAGTCTCGAGAATATCCGTATCTGTAGTCACATTCATCCGTCCCTCAAAGATGAACACAGTGCGGATTATCACGCACGAGTCTTAGAGTCGACTCCTAGATTTAGTCTAAGAGTCGACTCTTAGATTTCAAGTAAGAGTCGACTCCAATTTCAGGTAAGAGTCGACTCCTAGATTTCACGTAAGAGTCGACTCCTAGATTTCACGTAAGAGTCGACTCCTAGATTTCAGGTAAGAGTGAATTTAGAGTCGACTCCAAAACTGTGTAGTGGATTTTACACAGTGAA